ATCGTAATCTCATCTTCGACAGCCCCACCCACAGTGATGCGGCTTCCCGGATAGACAAAGCTCTCCACAACCTCCAGTGTCTCACCACCAACGGTGAGTTTATGTACAAACATCTACCAGCGTTGAAAGAGCTTTGCACTTAGATGTAGAAGAGTGCATACCATCCTTCGACGCTTCAATCGCATGGCTGCCTGTGGATGGCTTATGGACTGTCACTCAACAATACGATATCGTCAGCGTAGTCCAGATCAACTACTCGACTACCAGGGAGGAGCTCAACACCAGCGTTTAACGAGTATTCTTGAGCATTTTTATGATATCCTCACTTTCAAAATTGGAGAGGAATGGGGAGATTGGGCATCGTAATCGAACCCCACTGGTGACAACAATAACGAGCTTCCGCTTGCCATAAGCTCTAACTCTACCCGAGGTCAGACCGCACGTAGTACGCAGTACGGAAACGAACTTCCGGGCAACACCATTCCTCAACAGACAGTACAACAATGCAGTCCTGTCGACGGAGTCGAAGGCAACACGGATACTCAGGGCCACAACGATCATTGGCTTTTGGTACACATAGCGGAGTTCGAGGATCGATGCAGCCGTGACCAGGACGCGATCTAGCCTGTTGTTCTCGCTGTAAGGATTCTCGCGTTGGGGATAGCCTGCAAAGTATGATGCACAAACAACGGGTACTAAACTTAGGTCCCTGTAGTTGCAGCACATTGTGTGCAGGCTCTTTTCGAAGCTGGGTACGACTATCGACTCAATCCACGACGGTGGAACTAACTCTTTTGACCAGACTTCTGAGGACAAAGCACTGTTCTCAAACCAGCAAATAGCCGCTATCTTTAAATAGAGTAGTCGGTAGACCAACGATACCAGGTGCTTTATAACACTTCAAGAGGCGGAGTTCATACCAGACTTCTTAGTAAGAAGGAGGATCTGTCGGGACAGACCACTCACCACTAGTGCGGACTCCAGGGTAAGTAGTTGGAGCTTGCGGACAGCGAAACTGCGAACCAACATGTTTAGCCTATCGCTCCATCCATCATTGCAGATTAGTGAATGGGGACTATCATCTTCACGGATTGTTCCGCTTACACCAGATGAGAAAATTTCGGTGACAAATGTAATTTTTGGGTATTACCAGGACGACTAGTAAGTTCCATTTCTCAGGCCCGTTCACAACACGGGCTGCATGATCATTTTATAAGTTCCTGCGCAATTCTCGACCCAAGAAACTGACGTTTTTCACTACACTTGACATCGGGTGGGACCAACCCGCGTCGCTCCATCGGCGATGAGACAGTGGTGACCCAGCCTTTCAGCTGGTGACTGTTAACTTAACGACTGTCAATGGTGACAGAAACCAAGACATCTTTGATGCACACACCTTGTGCATTCGGACCATCGTTAGAAGTTGTGCCAAGTAAGGTTGACAGTGGGGTCTGGTACTTGGTTAACGTTGTAGTGTTTTGTAGATCTTCGACATTTGGTCGGTAGTGCCTGAGCCTGGGCCATCCTCCTATGCGCATGCAATTCTAGCACAAACCAATGCGTGATCAAAGTTCATAGAAGCTGACCAGTACGATCGACAGCCTGTTGCGCTTCCGCACCATCTTTAGCTTACTTCGATGTTGTCAAGTTGATATCACTCTTGTATTTGAGAAGTCGGAAACCAGGTAGTAGCCTGTCTCTTCGAGTGCTGAAAACATCCTCGAAAGTAGCAAGCGGTGGTCAGAACAATGAGTCTGAGTTTGTTTCCATTGTCTGATCGACTGCTACCGAGGACAAAGCTGCCTCCAAGATTGTGCTCTCCTGGTAGCAGGCGGCCTACTCGGGCGTTAGAATCTCCGGCAACAAAGACAGTATCAGTCTTTTGGGGGAGGTAGAAGATCAAGTAGTTGTGGGCAAAGATAATCCTTGTCTACATCCGGGCTGCAGTGTGTAGGAGCGTAGACGGCGATGACAAGGAATGCACGCTGAACATTTCGACATTTGCTTACTTTGTACAACCTCAACTCAAGCTTGGTCAAAAGCGGCGGCACCTGGGTCACCGGAAAAGCGTAAAGAGTATTTGACCTCAGTGTTTGCCGGAGATAACATTCTAATGACTATGCTAGAGCCTTGCAATCTGGTTTCCAAAAGGCAACATATGTCTACTAGAACGTATCACGAGTACGGGTCTGACGTGCTTGATGTCTGATTTTTTTCAGAGTGCGAACAGTGATTGCTTCGAGGCCGAATGTAGAACTAGTTCGAACAAAACCCGGGGCTTCGGTGGAGTATGAGAAGACTGATCGCCGGGCATCGAACGCCGGGAATTTGATTGTTTCTTTCGTCAGGTGCGATCAGTGAGTTGTTATTAGCGGAAGGACACAATGATCTAATCTACAAGGCAGCAGGGCGACATGAGGGCGTCGCAACACGTTGGGAACCGGTAACCAAACAAGTGGTACATACGCATTTAGGTCCGCGAAGGATCACGGGCTTGACACACCCTTGGATAATGTCACAGAGAGGCAAGGTGCAGTGACTTTGTTTATTGTCTAGTCACACCCGCCACGTCACAGTGTTGTTAAATAGACATATGTGGCTTAGCATAGGGAGAGCTGTTGATAGGTGAGAACCAACCACGTCCTGGAACACTGCCACCAATCTATTCGCCAGAACGGGATAATCCCGAATCACCAGCTGGCACCATGAGGATCTTGTTCTGCAAGCCAGACGGATGACGTTGGTGAGCCTAATGCTGACTGGCATCATCTCAAGTGTGCCATAAATAATGGTTTTGACACCTGGACGCCCAACTTGAAACATTCGAACTATGAATGGATCTCTGATCTATCGATCATTTTGATCTAGGCGTGCAAACAGGTTCCGTTGAGTACTAAGTTCTTACCTCTCCGTAACGTCCTGAAATAACGACAGGCAATAAGCCTCCGAACTGACTGGGACGTTGCTCTATAGCAAAGAGCCTGGAGATGGAGAAAGGCCATGCTCTTAAGAACGGCGGCTTGCTGTTCCAGCTCATCCGGAACACGGATTCGAGAAAACCATCAGTTAGTGAAACGGTACTGAGCTTGTTCGTTAACTTTTGTTCCTGGTATGTAGTGAAACAGTAACTGCGTAAGATGGGCAACTAGTCCATTCTCAGCCCCGTCGAGTATTCTGTTGTCTGGAACATTTTAAAGAGTAACTCAACAGGTCTTCTGCGGCACTGACGCTTGATGAATGACCTGAGCCAACATGGGATATTGATGTCACACCTCCTACTTTGGAAGTGACTCGATATTAGCTCGCTTTGTTGAAAAGAAGCAAGGCTCGTGTACCCGATGACCTTCTCCATCATTGCTGAAATATTGTCGCTCTTTTTTAACTGAATTTGCTTCTCTACTCAACACGACTTGGGACACTTAAGAGCTGCCTTCAGACTGGCAACTGTGTTGCTCATCTTCAAAGGGTCCACAAACGATGTGCGGAACCCATCGAGATATTAGCCTTCTTTCCATTATCTCCACACTTTTGACGTGTGTCATTCTGCGACGACTTACTGGTCCCCGTGAAAGACGAATCACTGAATGACAGGCTGGCTTCTGCACATCACATACTTTTCTCCATGTTAGAGCATCGATACACGGACGACCGAATATGGAACTTTTCCACTACTTGTAAGCAGCCCTCGACTCTGTTGATCGCGCCAGCATATCGCACTGCCTATCTGTGCAGAGAGCTTCTTTCTATTCCGTAGTCTCTCTACTGTGACTCCCGAGACCGGGTAATGGCCTACGGAAAGCTGTATCCTGAGATCCTCACGATACGTGGGGATCGAAGTGATCATGAATGACTCTGTTCTTCTAGAGTGGCATTTCTGCCACGTATTTGGACGACATAACTATTTTTGGGTCTAATACGGTGGCTATGCAAGCACTACTGCACAGACTGATGCGCAGCCGCGCACGCTCTATCATGTCCTTTGTACATACAAAGTGCAAACTATTGTTGCAGAACTGAATCGATACGCCGGTTTTTAGCTATCAGCGTACAGCCACTGGAAGTGGTGGATCAGTCCACTTACCTTGGCAGCTGTGTCACATCTCTTGGTCACATCATTGAGGAAGTTACTTCGCGTATCAGCAAGACTCATGTGGTTTTCCAGAGGCTCTACCATCGGTGGAAGCGGCGCGATATCAGCTTATCAATGTACTGTAGTGTGTATAACGCTGCGATAATGTTGCCTTACTGTATGGATCAGTGACCTTGCCAGTTCGTAGTTAGGCCGTTAAACGTCTGGCTATGTTTGATCATTGGTACTCTCGAAGTATTGTTCATATCTGTTGGGAACACTTTGTGAGCAGTGCTGAGGTCCACCAGTTGGTTTTTGACATGAAGCCCCCTGGTGACTCACTGAAGTATTTGTGTAAGCTCAACCGCTTACGTTTGCTTGGTCATGTCCTCCGTATGCCCCTTGACCTGTTTCCTCGGTGTGTATTATACACCGTCGCTGCACCAGGTTGGCCGATACCGCAAGATGGTCATTCGATGACTTGACATAAAGGGACGAAAAAATCGACTGAGATATAGTCAGGCTGGAGCGTGCAGTTCTCGTTTACAGGTGTTCCGGTTGCTGACGTGGTCATGATGTTTCTGTTTCTTACATTCAACTTTCATGCCGATTGCTTTTGCACACTTTTTTGCTGCTTTCCTTCTCTTCGTACACAGTTTTTGTTCAATCTCATTTTTCTACCATTGTTATTTATTGTTATTCTGAGAGGCGAAAGTCGTGGCACCTGGATTCACCGCACTTCGGTTTTCAGATTATTGGTGTCCTGGTTTGATTCCTACCTTCCCCGTTTCGTGCCATTCATGGTGGATTTGGGATTTTCTTCATCGCTTCTTGCATGCTTTTTCGTTTCAGCATGTCAAAACGCGAGCATGTTCACAGTCTCTCGTCGAGCGGATTGCTAAGCGAACCGGATGAGAAGACCTGTATAAAGATGGCCTTCAAGTTCGCCAAGGCCTCTGATGTCGCCAATCTGGAACTGCTGCATGAAGTACTGGTGGACCGATGCAGACCTTCCGTTACACGATCCTCTTCCTCGACCGCATCTTCTTCCAGATTTGATACATTCCGTGACAGAAAACAGCGTTCTTTGCTGCACGTTGCCGCCAAGGCGAGGAACCTTGCAACAATCAGGTATTTACCAGTGAATATGTCCCCGATTTCCAAATTCTACTTGTAACCAGATCGCATTAACTGTGCCACATTAGCGCAGTTGCATTAATGCGCTCCTTCCCATAGAATTTTCGCAACCGCTATATTAATTTAAACCATGACTTTATAAGGGTTAAGAAACACTATACCAGCCCTGTTGATTGGTCTGCTGGGTTATCTGACAGCGTCATAGACAAATGCAGTTAATAACTGTTAAAAGAATGTTATTGTTTTTTAATACACTAGTCCTGCACTCCGTATAGTCTCGCGGCTCCAATAGGCGACAGATACTAAATCCAAGGTATTTCCCAGTTGCAGAACGGATATATGGTAAGCAACAAAAAGCAAATGACTGAGTGCGTCCTAAACCAAGTGTAGAAACGACTTACGGGGAGTGTGTTCCACCAGTGAGATACACGAATAGAAATGAATTTTTACGACACTTCAGGCGTCCGTACTGTTCTGCTAGTTTCAACGATTGACCTCTTAGGTTTGTATTACATTTGAGTTGCAGTAAGCAGTGATATACATGATTTGGTTTGTGTAACATCCAATATGCCATTAGCTGATCCTTTCGTAAACGGTACGTACGTCCACTGAATACCACCCTCCGTTTCAGCCTTTGCTCGTATGGTAGATTGCTCATTCCAATAATTTGTCTGGAAGCCCGACATTGAGGCTGCTCCAGTGCAGTTAAGTCGTGCTTCATCCATGACTGGCAAGCTCTAGTTGTGTATTAGACATGGCAGAGGACATGCGCACTGTGTACCTGTCGAAAAATGGACATGTCTGTCTGTTCGAACACCCTTCGCAACAGACCAACTTGATGATTACCAGCTTCGGGGCCTTTTCGGGTTACTTGGAACCACTCAAGTCATCCTGAACCACTACGCCCAGGTCGCGTTCGACGGAGAATCGCTGCAGTGCTTGTGTTTCTAGTCTGTATGAGTAGGTACTCCGGTGTCTTATGAAGAGCACCATGCACTCATTCATATTGGACAGTGCTAAAAACGCACCGTGTATGAATTCACGCCGCTATTCTTTACGTAGTGCCCCATGTTGAGACTAGTATTGCATTTATGATGCTTATTCACCGCAGATGGGCTAAACCAACTTACACTTAAACTAGGTCTGTTTAATGTGGATAAAATTCATTACACTTTATTTGGTATGTTTTGCGTACCTGATAATCTTCTCCGAATTTGCACTCGTCGCTCATGCTAATTGTGATAAACTTGCGTAATTTTATCGCATGGTATTTTTTAAATAACTTTCGGACATTTGTACTTATCACGGATTCACTTATAACAAATTTCTTCCATATGCTCATTTAGCAAGTTTTTATGTCGTTATATGCGTTTACTTTATTCGATATTGGCATTTCGAAAAATTGGCTGTTGTTTGACATTCCAGGTGTGACTGCGCTTGATGCGCATATTGACAAGGTGCCTACCTGTCTATAACCCACTACCTCGACTATACTGGCTCCAGGAGACAGCTGGTCGTTGCTGAAGGGGACGGGGCGCACGGTCCTTGTGGTCGTGCTAGGCTCGAAGAGTGGTTCCATACACTCAGTGCGCAGCGGACTACGGTCCAGCCACCGCTTTGTGCGTGATTTGTTCCCAAATACAGCGTGCTTGTGTTTACCTGTGAAGGAGTGTGGACCGGCTCCGTTGATGAACCGTGGCTCCCATCCGCTTGCCTCCCGGTCTTATTCCTTCGGGTTTACACTGAATTTGTGGTGGTGCAGCGCAAGCCATCCATGGTCCCTCTGGCCACAGTGACAGACAAATCCGAAACCGGATGCCGCCAACCATTCCTTACGTAGCAATCGCACTGGTTTAAGGTCAGCTGTTTTTGCGTCCGTCGCTCCGGAGTGGTCAGACCTCTTTGACTCTCTTCCGAGTGAGTTATTTGATCCTGGGATTGACAGAGCTAGGCGCGTGTTATCGATCCGGCCGGTAAGTTGATGGGCGACGGACAGTCGCCGCGAACAAACTTATTTGGAAAATTCTGCCCAATGGTAGCAGTGGCTGTCATGAGGGCGAGCCATATTTACAGCTGTCGTTTTGTACGTCGACTAGAAAGTGCTCGAAATGGTCTTTCGATTAAGACCACAAGAGTTCTTGATGGACACTCGGAAGAGGAAATTCCCCACTTAACTTTAAGCACAGATGACTTTGAAATTGCTAAAACGTGGTTTGGTGGTGATCCGCGAATGAAAGATCGAAAAGATGAAGAGTAATTAGTGGGGCTCTCGAGGACAAGACGAATGGTAGTACCTATGTACTTGTGAGGATAAATCCCAGGATTTAAGGGTGAATAACGCATGAAGGTAGTAATTTTGTAACCGTTCTGACCAAGCATGACTGGTTAAATCAGGGATCATATGTCGAACTGTGCGGTGTGCCTTTCACACGAAATTCAGCAGTCGATGGAACCAATTATGCTGCGTAATATCCCACATTGAACGGGACAGGTGGCGCTGAAATTATTCTGTGACAATCGGAAAAGTTACTTACTTATATCGGATTACTACGTGATCATTTCAAAATTGACTTACTCGATACTACATCCACAGAAGTAGCAATCAACAAAAACGCAGCTGTTGATTTTTGCGGTACTTAACACTGCAAGAGCTGGTCTCCGACAATGGTCCCAAATCTACTGGCGTTGCGTTACATCCATTCACAACCAACTGGAATTTAGTGCACCATAATACCAGCCCAAATCACAGCCAATCAAATCAGAAGGCTGAGTTGTCGATGAAACAGGCCAAGCGACTTTTCTCAAAGGCTAAATCTACTGGCGAAGGCCCGTACCTCATGTTACTGGAGAATCACAACACCCCTTCAACGGATATCGGGTTGAGCCAAGTGCAACGCCGGGTTTTCAAATGTTGGCCATTTTTCGCCTTTATTCAATCGGGAAATTTCTCGCGGTTACAATCACCAACCCAGGATTTTGATCTCTTTAGATAGAAGAATTTCCCAGCTTTCGATCAAGATTTCCCTTGCCGCATTCCATCACTGTGCGTTGCCGCTGCAGAGCAAATTACGTCCCCACTGTGAAACCCTCAGTGAAGCTACCGTCAACGTTCGCCGCTCCTGCTTTCAGCCGGTGCGACCAACCGACCGGCCCAGCACAATAATTGTTTACACCAGACGCCTAACCCGCGATCGCATGACTCACGGTGCAACACACAAAGTACGACGAGCCATTCATCCGACGGTGATCTGGTGACCAAGCGCTAGCCGGCAACGGCGACGGCTATCATGGTCACGACACCGGTAACCCGAGACGAAGCCTCTTGTGCTAATCACAAATGTGCTTACTTAGTAAAAGTTGCTTTGACATCTTCCTATTGCAATAGCCCCTACCGAAGTGATTCAGACTCTCTTGAACCGAAATAAAGAAATATAATAGTACAGCGTGCCCTTTTTGGTTCTGTCCTAAATGTACAACGGATCCACTTGTGAACTGTATATTAGCATTGGCACAGTAGTACGACTGTCTAGTCGCCGAAACGGACCATCGTTTAACCGCGAAAATTGCTTCGCTGGGGGCAACAATAGAAAAGCCTGTACTTCATCTGTCTCTCCAGTTTTCACCTCGAGACCACGAAAAATGGTAAGGCGTTCCCCCGGCCACAGTACAAGAGACCTTGGGAACCACAAACCAACGCATCGTTGCGAACGATCGAAGCGTGTCCAGCGCCACCGTCCACATCCTCTTATCCACTGTACCTACTGGTGTAACACCGGTAACACCCACCCTTCCTATTGACCAATGAAATCCGAAACGCTCTAAAGATCCACTTATGCAACCGTGGCTGCTCGCTATAATCAAAGTGCGACTTCAATGGCCTCATCCTGTACAGCCACAACGCGGGTCAAGTACCAGATGCAATCTGCAGCGACGTCGCCAAAGCCCTCGACTGCCATCCCTCCCACATCACCGACGCCTTGACACTTACATACACCATCGTTCCTGAGTCCAAGGCAAACTCCTTAAGGATCAAACAATAGGATGCTTTCAATCAGTGGAATTTCCTTTGTCGTCGAATCGGAGTTCAGGCCAGGCCGACTAATTTACTACAAATCACTATACATTCAACCTCGATGCACTACGAGTAGTCCCGACTAATCCGAGTAACATTGAGATCCACAGATGATGTCGAGACCGTGCTTTTGTTGGCATACCGCCTGCCGACTGAAGACCGTGGGATACGAATATTTTCGGATGTTCTATGGAGCGAACGCCAGATGGATAAAAATAACTCAACCGACTACCACACGGAGAGTAGCCGAAGAATCATTTTTGTTCATATCATGCCCGAGCTACCGGCATCTAGAGACAAAGAAACCCATACTTACGACCTGGAAGAATGGCCGTACATCCGTGGAGCTTTCCGTGCTGGTGGCGTTATACTTCAGTGGATTACGCGGTTACCCGTGTCTCCTCCACAGTACAATGGCAGTGGCCCGTGGATACTGAAACGTATGCTCTAGTCACAACAGATGGCAGATGACTTAATCCCTAACTGACGGATACTACGCAACACACTTCCTTCGGAACTACGACTGAAGACAACAGTTAGAGAACCGCAACCACATGCTGTGCTTGCGGAAACGACACCATCTGCGATTCAATGTAACCGCAATAGCGACTCAGACAACTGTACACTAAGACCAGTAGCTATCGAGCAAGTTAAAGATGGACTACATATCGCAGGTGCAATTGAGACAACAAACAGGTCGCATACATATCGAGATTTGGCAATTCACCAAAAAACCATTAGGTGCCGACCTGTCATCGGTCGGCACAAATCCACCTCCTTTATCTGCTCCTCGTCAAGAGTTTTTGACATTCAAGAAACTTTCCTGTATACACATTGATGCTCAAGGCTTGCATAGTAAAATTTCCGGTTTGCGACTTCGTCAAGGACCGAATGCCTGTGGCCTCATGGCTGTAACGGAGAC